AAGAGTTTCACCCACGTCCGGGAATGCTACCAATGTTTCCGCTGGATTCAGGAGAAAATGCCCACAGAACTGTAGCCGACCACTCTTTCCTTCGCCACAGGGAATACAGCAGTCGTTGAGAGGGTTGCCATATGTATTGCTTCGAAGAAAAAGGATGGCTGACAAAGTTTCAACCACACCCGGAATACTATGAATACTTCCGCTTGATGCAGGATAAAACGCCCACAGAACTTCGGCCGACCACTACGTGCCTCGCTACAGGAAACACAGCCGGTGAAAAGGTTGCGATATGCATGGATTTCAACGAGAAACGTACGGCACTCACAAGAGGCGCCCCCCCGTCGATCCTCAGCACGTGATCCCGATTGCCTGGCTCGTCCGCCAACGACGCGAGCAGAACCTCGAGCGCGGACTCCGTCATCGCCTCCCTCCCGCCGCCGTTCCCTTCGCCGGCGGCGGCGCTCGCGGCGGCGCCCTCGCCGCTCGCGGCGGTTTCCTCCTTCACTCTGTTTCCCTGGTCTTGTCCCCCACTTCCGCCATTACCCCCGGGTGCAGTTGGCGTTGAACCAGCAGGAGAAGGGAAGGCCATGGACGCAGTTAGAGTTGAAGCAGCAGGAGCACGGCCAGCACCAGTGCTAGCACCAGCAGTGGAGGGAGTAGAAGGCGAGGAGGAACAGGATGAGGGCGGTAATCCCGTCGAGCAAGCGTTCGCCACACCGGGGTTAGCGGCAGTCGCTGCAGCATCCGGCTCTTGCTCGGAGGCCGCCGCCGCGTTGAGCTGAGGCACAACCGGCGTCCACGGAAACGGCGCACAGATGGCAACGAGAGAATCTAGCACCCCGCGCGACTTCGCTTGAGAGCGCAGCCGTTGGGCCATGTTTTCGTTCGCCGTTGTCGTGGCCCCGGCGACGGCGGAGTAACCACCGCCGTTGGCAGACGGGGGGGCGGAAAAGACGTCCGTGAAAGACACCGCCCGCGAAGGGAAGGGAGCAGAAGCAGCGGGACACATGGCTTGAAGGTCGCGCAATGACCTCCACGCCGCGGCTTCTATAGCCGCCATCCCCTGAGATGACGACCGTAACTGGTGGCGTGTTACAGGAGCGCCACCAGGAGGGCTCCCCCTGCTACCGATGCCCATCGCATCGTCTTCCGACCACGGCGTGACTCCGCCGGCGCATCCCGCCGTACCGCTGTCAGCAGCGGCTCCCTTTTCCTCCTTGCCGGTCACGATGCTGCCTTGTTCTTCGGTGGCAGGGGTATGATGTTGCTGTGGGGTGTGTGCTCGACGATTCTTTCTCTTCTTGGTCGGGGTGTCCCTCATTGGCCTGCACTCCGCGCTCGCGTGCGGCGATGGCGGCGTGCTTGTATCAGCGGTGCACAGTGATGCTGCGCCCGCTTCAGCTAAGCTTTCTGCATCTCCTCCTCTTCCTCCTCCTCCTTCTCGTTCCTCGGCAATGTCATAGCCGCCCTCCGCCACCACCTCGCCTTTCGTGTCCTCTTCTCCTGCTCCATTGCCTGGCTTAACTTCGCATCCCGCACCGCCATCTTCGACACCCCCGGAAGCCACCGCCGAACATACCGGAGACTGTGAATCCATCTCTTGTGTACCCAAGGCGGCGATAGCCGCGGCGGCGGCGGCGGATCGTGCCTTCGCCCCGCGGCGACGATTGATGACGCCTCCCGCGCGCTTACCTCGCCGCGTTTTCCTGTGCCTGCCCCGGAGGAGCCGTCCTCCTTCTCCTCGGGCTGAAAGCTGGTCGGCGCCGCTACTGCTACCGCTGCCTCCCCCCCCCCCATCGCCGGAGCGGGCCCCGTCCTCGGCGTTAACCTCGGCGATCAGCGCGGCGGCCCTGCCTTTACACGGGCATCCAACATTTTCGTCCATCGTCGTCCCTCCCGCAGCCACCACCGCCGTTATGACATCGCCGCTGTTCACACCGGACAGGAGGCCAACGGGACTCGTTGGCATCGAAAGTGATGGCTGTTCTGTACTTGCGGCCAAGAGAACAGCAGCAGCCGGCGCTAGGCGAGACGCTGGGGCATCAGCAGGCGGTGTCGCGGCTTGGGCCACCGCGTGGCTCTTCACCACCTGCGTCTTTGCCAGCGCCAGCTCGGCCAGCTCCCCCGCCGCCTTCTCAAGCCGCGGCCACGGTGCTACCGCCGTCGCGGTCGGTCCCGTCGTGCTTGCCTCCACGCAGAGCTGCCGCAGATTATCCTTGACTTTCCTCGCTCGCTTTTTCTGCGCCCTTCCTCTCCTGGGACAGGCAGTCGTCGCCAGCAGGAGCGCTGCGCTTGGGGCTTGAGTCGGGGGTGGGTCTTCGTACATCGCCGCCGCAGGGCCCCGGACGGACACATTCCTCGGCGTCCGGCTTGACTCGGGGCGAGGCTTACCTTCCGGAAAGTCCACCTCGTCGTTGGTGTCGTTCTCGTCATTGACATTGCGAGCGTTGCCGCTGCCGTCGTTGCGAGTGTTCCTGCTATTGTTCTTGTCAGCAGAGGCGGTAGTGGCGGGGGCGGCGGCATCCATCGCCCCCTTGTGTCTACTGTCGATCCACACCGCCGTTCCGCCGCCCTTGGACTTGCCGGTCACCGTTGCCGGTGCGGTCACCCTCGCCGGGTGATGCAGCATCGCCTAAGAGGAACCGTATGATCGACGTTAAACGAGAACAGACGATGAATAAAATGAGATTGGGAGCCGAACGAGGCGAGCTTCTGTGCTCAGTGTTGTCATCAGTCGCCTCAAATCCATTGTATCTACCGCGATTGCCCATTTATTCGGGGACAGAAAAGGGTTCCTTAGAGCCCGGTCGTCCATGCGTACATGAAAGTCCAACTGCTTAGCTGAACCCAACCAACTCGTCAAGTCGACCGACCCACCCCTCCTCTGTTCAATCAGGCAACCAAAACACGAAGGCTAGACAAAACCCCAACCCCAATCAATCCCAGCCGTCGCTCCTCTATTTTCACCTCTCTCCGCTCCCGAGCCTGAGTGTGCCGGTTCGCGGCCTGCATCCTGCGGCTTGTTTCCTTCTCCCTGTCTCTCCGGCGCTGTTGCACCGCCTCCAGCCGTTTCTGTAGGGCTTCCCACCGCATCGCAGTCGCCTCAAGAAACAAGTTCCGAAAAAAGAAAGGGGAGGGGGTACTCTTTATGTTTTGCATGCCTTAGCGGTTAGACCATTGACCGCGCGTCCTCCAGAGGACGGAGCAGGGGGGGTACTCATAGTCGTGCACGCCGTAGTCATTTGATCATTGACCTCGCATCCCTACAAAGCCGGGACTGAGGAGGGGAGGGGGGGGGTGTACTCATAGTCGTGCATGCCGTTGTCGTTAGACCAT